GGGCGGACGCTGAGGCTGTGAAGGGTGGGCGAGAGGCAACAGATGTTCATGTGGAGGGCTTGCAACAAGCGGTGGATGAGGCTGTGCAGGCAGGACGGCGGCGAGACGAGGGTGTGGGTGACGCACGATGTGTGGTCCAGGAGACAACGACGGGTCTGGTCGTTCCGTTCTCGGGCCTGCACTTGGCTCAGTGCCGACAGTCGCAGCCGGTGCCGGTGGCAGTGCATGGTGTGCCGCCGCCCGTTATCACGGATTCGGGGTCCGAGCCGGTGGTTGTGCCACCGCGTCTTCCTAGTCACTTTGCTCCGCAGGAGGTCCGTCGTCCTTTGGATGCAGACGAGTTGGCGAGAGAGGCTGTCCGCGATGTGACTCGCTTGGACCGGCGGGTCTTTGACCAGAGGCTATAGCATCCACCATGGCAGGCAATCCCTCCAGTTCCATGGGGGCCTGCATCGCCGGTGTGGTTTGGGTCTACCTCCACTGGAGCACGTACGGCGGGAGATGTTCCAAGGGTTTCAGGTAGCGTCGTGGAGACGACGCCACATACACGAGACATGCAACTCCCTCCTCCTAGACCACTTGTAGATGATCCGTCATCGTCGCTCACAGGCAGAGGCTCTCGATCTCCACACACGCCTGGGAGGTCTAGGATTCGGGACACTACAGCCGTTGTGGGGGACGTGAGTGACACAGCGTTTTTCGAGAGGACAGACATAGATTTGGATTCCACTCGTCGTGTCACGGAGCACACTGCACGTCTACAGCCGGGTTTGGGACCCCGCGGCGGCAGGATGACCACAGCGAGGGAGGTGGCAGCATCAGGTTGTGAGCCTCAGCGAGGTCGCGGCAGAGGAGTGTCCGCCGATAGCTTGGAGTACGCTCTGATGGCAGCGACGCGTGCCGTACATGAGCAGACTCCACGCAAGCGCGGAGTGCCTCCTCGTCCACGCCCCGTGCCCGCAGAGGGAGGAGATGCACTTGGAGAGACTTCGGGGGCAGAGGGGTTGGGGATGCCTCGTGGATCGCGCCGTGAGCAGACGGTTACAGAGGCTAGTGCGAGGGTTGTTGTGTTGAGGAAGGCAGGAGCCCCTGTCACCATCGAGGAGGATGATCCTGAGACAGATGTGGCAGTGCAGGAGGAGGACGAGGAGGAGGGAGAGGAGGAGAGAGAGAGAGGTTCCGATGGTGACTACGACCACGACGAGCACAAGCCCCCACCTCCCCCACCGAAAGGTGCAGCCAGACGGCGCGCTGCGCAAACTTCTTCATCATCACGAGGGAGGAGGAGTTCGACATCCGGCACGCGAGGGGGTACGAGGAGACAGAGCGGGAAGGGGAAGAAGC